GTGCGTGCGCGCGTGCGTGCGTGCGGCGTGCGTGCGTGCGCGCGTGCGTGCGTGCGCGCGTGCGTGCGTGCGCGCGTGCGTACGTGCGCGCGCGCGCGCGCGTATGTGCTAAGGAATATCGGAAATAATATATATATAATAAATAATAAATTAATATTACATTATGGATCATACAAAATTTTAAATTATGCATAATCACATGATCGTAAGATTGTCAGTCGGTAATAGTATCTCATCGATGTGTATATGTACTATGACGGACTTAAATATAAGATTGATTATAGAATAATCATATTCATAGTCGATGTTCCTAGTCCAGTCTTACATTTAAGATTATCTTATGCAAAATGTCTCAAAATGCTATCAGGCCATTTCAATGAACAAGATCTTAAGATGACTCGATTTAAGACAATTTTGAACATAAAAATTGACTAACATAAGTTAGTCAATTCGGGTTTCAGATCGTTTTAACATCATTTTAATCCGTTTAATCAATAAAATGGCCGTAGCAATATAACATCTTAAATTCGTGATTAAGATGATCTTAACATAAGAATTGAGTATGAATATCGACCTATGAATACCGATCTTCTTAGGTAAAATTTATATGGCTATCTTATTGATTGAAACGTAATCTTAAGACAATCTTAAATATAAAAGCTTCCAGATGTGTTAGACCTAGCAAATATAGATATATAACTATATATCTGTTCATATATTATATTGCCATAATAAAACGAAATATAACAAATAATATAACAAACATATTGTATGTAACATCCATGTTAGTTGATTTTCCTCTCATTGGATGTTAAAATTATATAATATAAGATATAACTGAAATATTATATAATTGCAGTATAAGTAATTTTAATATTATATAACAATGATCAAATAATTTATTATATTATAGTTATTTCTTTGTCAGCTTTAATTTTTAATTAATAATTGTAGTGTCAAAATTATATTTAATTTATTTTTATCTTGGAGTTTCTCTTGGAGAGATTTCATTTAAAGGGAGCCCCATTTTGAGAATTCATCTTCAAAAAATTATTTCATTAGAAATGAAATAATATCATAATACCGTATCTTTTATTCTATCCTATATGGTTTTTATTTACGAGAAATATGAAATAGAAAGGCGGCAATACAAGCATTGCCGCATTGTCGCAAGCATTTAAATTAGAGTTCCGCATAATTCAAATTATAATATCAAATTATAATATTAATATAATATAATTTATATGACATTGCAGTTATATTAT